AGTAAGTTTACAGGATGTAAGTTTAATACAGAAAATTCAATTGATTTCCTTTATGCCAACAATGAACAATTTGAATGCAAAGTGAAAAACAGCCTGCCATTTAAATAGCAACAACAAATAAAATACTTAGGCATAAATCCAAGAAAATATGTATAAAATCTGGATCAGGAAAATTATAAAACTCAGTAAAAAAGATGATCTAAATAAATAGGAGAAATTCTATGTTAATTTATAAGAAGACTGAATATTGTTTAAGATATCAGTTATTTCCAAACTGATCCTTTGGATCCAGCACAATCCCAATAAAAATTCTAGCAAGTTACTTTGTAGATTTCACCAAACTGATTCTGAATTTTATATTGAAAGGGAAAAGTTCCAGAATAGCCAACACAACATTGAGGGAGAAGAACAGAAGAGGACTGACACTACCTGATTTCTAGACTTACTGTAAATCTATAGTTTTCAAGACAGTATATTATTGGTGAAAAGCAGGATTCAATGAAACAGAATAGGGGACTCAGAAATAAACTCACATAAATATATAGTCAATAAACCTTTAATATGGAAGCAAAGGCAATACAATAGAGAAAAGATAGTCTTTTCAACAAATGGTATTAGAACTTGATATCTACATGAAAATGATAATGATAATCTGGGCACTGACACCTTTCATTAACATTAACTCGCTATGGATCATAGACCTAAATTTAACATATACAACTGCAAAACTTCTAGGAGATAATATATAAGAGAACTAATGTGACCTTAAATTTGGCAATAAATTTTCAAATATATAGCCAAAAGATTTAAGTGATTAACCTTATGTAGTCATCGAACATATGGCAAAACAAGGACTGGAGTCCCGAACAACCTGGTTTCAATGATAATCCTCTTTTCATTAAACCATATCACCTACAGGAGATGACTGCAAAGGATATTTCAATAATAGATGAGACTTTGATTATAAGACTTTAAAGACTGAAATTACAAATTTCTCAAAGAGAAAGGGAAAAACAAAATTTATAGTGAATATTACATGAATTAAAATGAGGATGTCAGTTGCATTTAATGATCTGTTAATTTTAGTGAAACCTCTATACTTACTAGGAGTCCTGGTTCTGGAATAGGAGAAGGCCTTGCAAACCTTTTATTCAATCTCCTCTTCTCTTTCTTTAGGTTTTGCATATTCTGAATACGTTTATTTGCAAGCTTTAAAAAATTAAAATGAAAGAAAAATCATACTTTTTTGTAACATATAAAGATAACATGCTGATTATATTTTTGGTTTGTGTCAATAAAAAAGGTAAACACCACCACTGCAAACGGTTTACGTAACTACATAGAAATAGGGGGGGAAATCCCTTTTGTTCAAATGTGTGGTTCATAGGTGAAGAAAACCACATTGGAGCATCAGTAGAGTTTTCAAATAGACTATTCTTGATTCTCATCTTACCACTGTGTACATTTAAATAGATCCAGACACATGGATTAGTGTGTTTACTTTTCCTTTAAAAATAATGTTATTAAAGACACCTAGCGAATTTTCTCTACAAAAGCAAGAAAACAATTATTCACTCCTTTGAAATGTTGCATGACGCACATAAATTTTTATGCGACCATTGTATGGTATCTACAAGTAGCAGAGACCTAGGAGATCAAACTAGAATTCTTTGAAGCTAATGAAATACAGTAATAGAATAAAAAGGATATGAATAACAATAACTTTTTATCCACTTCCAATGAAGTATAAATTGGTACAATTGCTTTGAAAACAAACTTTTTAAAAAATCCACTGCTACTGGAGTATAAAGTTGAACAATTGCTTTGAAAACAGTGTGGCACTACTTTTTAACAATAGAAAATTTGCTTTCCCTATGATTTAACCATTGCACTCCTGCCTAAATAATCAAGGCATTCTTGTGCATGGGGAAAGAAGCCGTGTACTAGAATGTTTGCAGTAGTACTATTCATTTTAGAAAAATGTAAAAATAACACAATGTCCATAAACAAGAGAAAGGATTAATGAACTGTGATATGTTCCATGACAAAATATTGAACAGCAGTGAAAATAAAGAGACTATATACAGCAATATAGATAGATCTTAGGAAATAATATTGAGAAGAAAGAGTAAATCATACACTAAATTTTGTGTGATCTTATGTTTATAAAGTTCAAACCCAAGCAAAAGCAGATAATGCACTCATTGAGGCACCTATGTAACAAACTATTAAAGAAAAGGAAGAGATTGATGTAACTAAAATTCCAGATGGTGGTTACCTCTCGGAGAGATCTTAGGAGGTAGAATAGAAAAGCATTCCCTAGCTGGATTCAGAAATACCGAATATCTTAATCCTTAAATGGGAGACATATTATAGTTTATAAATTATATCTGCCACATATGTTTTTGTATATGTATCAAATGTTACATTAAAAAATAACATAAGTCATTTACTTTACTCTAGTTAAGACCTATTCCAATAGTAGTCATGAGATCCCAGAGTCCCAAGAAACATACCGAAGTGTCTACTTAATACAAGTTCTATTATGTTAGGGACAACTACATAAAGGAACGAGTTACATGCACAATGTTTAAACAACCAGAACCTAGTTCTTTATTTGAACATTACCTGCCGCTCAGTGACTTCTGAAGGATGATGTTGTCTTGGTCCTTCCTATATAATATGCAAAATTAAAACACATTGACACACAAAAAAGTCATTAAAAAATAGTAAATTAATTATTAGTAAGCCTATGCTACTTTTACATTTATGTGTTATATGAATCATTTCGACTATAAGAGGCAGGTTAAAAAAAAAAAAGAAAAAGGAAAAAAAGGTTCAGAATTAAAACATCTAAGATAAAAATTGTGGTGGAAGATAAGACAGTATTATGATAAAAAGAACCAACTGTGAGCCACCTTACAGATAAAAGGCAGAGTATGAGAAATAAGAAAACAATTATTCAGGAGGGAAAGAATGTACAAGAAATAGAAAAATGCATGTTTCTGCTTGTATAGGACTTCAGCGGTGCCATTGAACAATCTAGTCTTCAATCTGGTTTCAAAGCCTAGGAATAATTGGTGATGTATTGAGATCATGTGGTTTTCTGAAGCACAGGGAGCTTGGCTGTTAGATTCTCACCACTTCCTCTATTTCTTGATTGTACCTTAAATACTTCTTCCTTCACTCATTTTCATCTAATCTTTTAACCAGAAGACCCAAGAGAAATCTGTTCTACATCTGGCAATTGAGAACTTTATCCTGCTCCCTACTTCTGTAATTTCCACTCCACCTCCTAGGGCAGGTCAATGGGGCAGTCAACATACAGTTGATGTACCTGACCTCTAAGCACAAAATAGGTGGAGCTTTGTCTTGTTTCAGGGGGGCCCAGCAGTCAGGATGTAGTTTGTCTACATCACCTGGAATTTCCCAACCCCAACCACCAAACCACATTTGTAAGAGCTAGAAGTACCATGGCCAAGGCCACAGTGGCCTGGAGCTCAAGGCACAGGACAGAGTAGCAGAGGTGAGGTTATAGACCCCAGCAGACTCACAGGACTGACTTGGGAAGGCTCGATGTCCCAGCAGTACAGGCACATGCCGTGGAGCCTTAGGGCGCCCCCTGACGCCTACTGCCTGTCCTGGACCAAGTGATTATGGGGTCCAACACTCACAGCCTTCAAACCCTGCCCCCACCCAGTTCCATCACAATTCTCTTTATTCTCCTCCCTGCTATGGGCCCCGCCCTTTGCCCAGTTGTATTCCAGTCCAGTGCAGGGAAGGCAAGGCCTCAAGTTGTCTGCAGTGTCTTTGAATTATGGAAGTCAGTTTACCATAATTCCCTATATTCTATCCATCTTCCTCAGAAAATTGAAGAATACCAATTTCCCACCTTTTCTACCCTTCATTTCTCTAGTCTCTCTCTTTATAAAGCCCCTTTTATTTGTTAACATATCTAACTTAGTCTCCATGTTCTGTTACTTCAGACTGTCTAGCTATTGTTAGGGTTCTCAATTCCACTACCTCATTCTTGTTCCTTCACAGCTTCTAGTTGGGTTGACCCAACTGTCTGCCTTCTTCCCATCCATCTATACCAGGTGAAGCAAGGAGAAGCTTGAAGATGGTTGGAATACATATTTGTGACCCTTAATTTATTTATTTATTGTTTATTTATTCTTTTTTTTTTTTTTTTTTCTCTCTCTGTCGCCCAGGCTGGAGTGCAGTGCC